ATGCTTGTTGTTTGTTGCTCCTTTTCTGCAATTTCTTGTTCGCTGTGCTTGTGTGTGCTGTACGTTCTGTCTGTCTGTCTGCCTGTCCGTCTATCCAGTCTCCGGAGCTGATGGCATTTGGGATGTCTATGCGTCTAGGTCTCGTTGGGGAGGAATTTCATCAGGCTGCCGGCAAACAGCAATCAGCAAACAACAAACGGCAACAGGAACAGCAACTATTGCCGCTGCTGCTGCTGCCGCTCTGCTCTTGCTACTGCTACTTTGATTGCTGTAGGACTGTTAGCTGCTTCAGTTGTTGTTGTTACAACTTCGGAACAACACGGAAACCAACTGATGGTAGACTGCCCGGCAACCATTGCAAGCAGAATGAGTAGAAGCAGTATGGAACGCTTTGTAAACGTAGAGACAGACAACAAGAACAAATCTAACATTTCTGGAGCTCCAAAAACATGAAACACACGTAGGATTGCACGAGAGCTGCGCGAAAGGCGTGAAAGAGCGCTGTGTGTTTGAAGGCCTTGTCAAGGATATGGCGGTTAGAGCGCAGAAGGATGCAGAAGGGCCATCGGCTTCAAACACACAGCGCTCTTTCACGCCTTTCGCGCAGCTCTCGTGCAATCCTACGTGTGTTTCATGTTTTTGGAGCTCCAGAAATGTTAGATTTGTTCTTGTTGTCTGTCTCTACGTTTACAAAGCGTCCCATACTGCTTCTACTCATTCTGCTTGCAAAGGTTGCCGGGCAGTCTACCATCGGTTGGTTTCCGTGTTGTTCCGAAGTTGTAACAACAGCAACTGAAGCAGCTAACAGTCCTACAGCAATCAAAATAGCAGTAGCAAGAGCAGGAGCGGCAGCAGCAGCAGCGGCAATAGTTGCTGTTCCTGTTGCCGTTTGTTGTTTGCTGTTTGCTGTTTGCTGTTTGCAATTTGCGAAAAACACAGCAGGCCTTGCGACAAGAGCCGCTCCCGTCGCATGGCCTCTACCGCCGCCCTGAGTGCCGATCAACACGTTGAATCTCAGGCTCCACGGACGCGCTTCTGAGGTTGCAGCGCATTGTGGCCCGGTGAGGATGCGGGCGCCGCGCAAGTCCTTGGCACAATGCCGGATAGTGCATGCACCTTCAGCATGAGCTCGGATAGTTCAGGCTGCGGCGCTTGCCATTGCGGGCTAAAGGTCGTGGACAGGAAGACCCCCCGCTCGAGCTGAAACTGCCATAGAGTCATAGCGGTATATATTTCCAAGATGCATCACATGCTGAGAGCTGCTGCTGTTCTTGAGATGTCTGCTTTGGTGCTGGTGTCATCTTGTGTGTTGGTACTGTTCGACGGCCTGCAACTTCTCCTGGTGAAGCGGAACCGCTGATGAGATCCAGAAGCTTCCGTTTTGCCGCTTGGCCATCTGCATATTCCTAAGATACCACTACGTTCGCTCGCGAGAACCGTGAACAAGTCGTCATGTCGCCTTTGCTGGTGCGCAGCTCCTCCTGGGCTTCGCGGGCCTGATGTTGGCTCTGGGGTCTCGTGGTGCAGGCGAGCCATGAGTCATGAGCCATGAATCCACAAAGTTTAATGACTCCTTTGCTGCCACGCGAGCCTCGGCGATGAGCTCTTCCTGGTGCTGTGAGCTGGCACGGCGCGCCACCTAGGAACCAAAGCATGGAACCCACTCCATCCGACTTCTCTGCCCGCCGCCTCCTCCGCAGCGAGGGCGGCGCGAAGACGCTCAAGCTCCAGCGTGGCCTGCGGTCGCACCGCTGTATTTCCGATGTGTTGTGTCAGGTCGCGCCTCCGGCCTTGTCCTATGATGTCCTATGTTTATCAATGCTTTTGCACCGAAGCACGGCTCATGGAAGTCCAAGTCGCATGAACAGACACATCCACTCTCACATCCAACGGCGGCCCATCGCCAAGGTGGCCTCATTAGCGCCCGAGATGCTGTCCTGGCATCCCGAGGCCAAGGAAGCCAAAGGCTCAGAGCAGTCAGTCTGCCAAGTTTAGGTTGGCTTTGGCACAAGGTGCTGACCGGTGCGGCAAGCTACTGTGCAGCAACTTGCCTCACGTCTTCGCTGTCTGCAAGCTCGTTGCCTTAGCGGAGATATCAGAAGCAAGCTGCGCCACGTTTCAGCAATTACTATGGCCGACAGCCTTGCTCATGGTTCCAAGCACACGTCAACTGACAAGGGATGGTCTCAGGTCACTGCCATACAGGAAGTGGTGCCTCATGCAGGGAAGCTTGGGCTGCTGATGAGAACGCCACGCCAAGCTTTTCCAGAAAGTATTGGCTCGACACATGTCGACAACTCTCGGGCAGATCTGAAGGCCTTTGCTAGAGCTGCTAGAGAGCCCACTTCATTCGCTGGGTCTTCGGCCGACGTAGCCAACACAAGCTACCCAGCCAACCGATCTGCAGACAAACTTGACATGCACACAGCCCATGCGTGCTCCCCCCCTTCCCCTCGTTCTGGCTGCCTGGCTCTACCACCTCGATCCTTTTGCGCATCTGTTTAGCTCAGGGGTCAAGGCCTCGGAGGCAGAAGCCCAAAAATGTCTTACGAAAGCCCGCCTAGCTCGGAACCCAAATTTAAGTCGGAGCTCATGCTGAAGGGCATGAGGCAATGTTGGCTGAAGCACTCTGACAATGTTGAAAAAGGCCGCGGGCCATGGCCAACGCCGCCCGAGCTGCCTTGCCCAGCGAACTGCGGGGCCTCTTGCCTTTGGCATCTGCAGCTAACTGTGGTGGCAACAGCAGCAACCATCTCCAATCAGTTCAAGGAAAACCGAAGGGATGGCGGTACCGTAGGTCATCAGCATTCGGAAATAATGAGCATGAGACAAACCCGTGCACATGCCAAAGCACAACTGATTGCATGCAGCACTCTCCGGCGTTGCCTTCTTTGCAAGCTGGGCGTCAAAGCCCTAACTGAACGCGCACAAGGAGGTGGACGAAGAGCGGACGCCGGAAGCTGAAGTTAAAGTGACAGGCAGCACAAGGCGTCAAGGCTTTTAGCGCTGTGCATGCTGAGAACTTCTGACTGATGAGCTTTTGTTGCTACCTGGGGATGTTGAGGTCGAGAGTTTGAACTGCGATGTCTGCTTGGCTTGAGCACGGAATAGCACAGAAATCGCTTGAGCACATGCCTCACTTGCCCTGCAGCATGTACGGCGTTGAATCCTCTGCACCGCGTGCAAAAGTTCACAGCCGCAATCAATGCAACAGAAGCGGCGTACCATTCAAGGCCTGCATGCTCTAGGATTGTAGTGTTTGACTTGGGTTTGCCGCGAATACGGAGTTCAACTGCAGGTGGCACAAAGTTTCCGATCGGGCGTTGTTGTTCAGATCGGGGGCAGGGTCGTTTCGGAAGCTTGTTTCGGACCGGAGTCGTCGTCGTAGTAGTAGGGTCAACTTTCCCGGTGCAACGGACAAAGCCGAGTTTTTCCTACTTTTGTTTCATCAAGGACGCATCAAACCAGAGCTGAGCGAAGCAATGGAGCAGAGATTGCTCTCATGAGCCATAGCTGCCGGTCCACGCTTGCAACTCAGAATCATGGGTTCAACTTCCGAAAGCTCTTGAGCACTGCTGCTGATGTTGAGCGCTGTGTGCTCAATTGATGCTTCTTGCAGGTGGCTCAATTGCGTGCTCAGTTATGCAGCATGTGTTGTGCGGGCTCGCAGGATGGCATGATTGCATGCAGTGTCTCGGCCACTTGATTGGACTGATCTTTTCGCAGTGTTCAGTCAGTGTAAAATTGATCGCTGAACACATCGCCTTACAAGATCATTTGCCTCTCGCTTTCGCAGGGTTGCATGTGAGCTCGCGAAGCAGGGACCATGCATGGATGCTCTATCCCGAATCGGGCGAAAATCCTATGTCAGCCTCAACGGTTTGGAGCACGTCCTCAAAGAGCTCAAGAAGCTGGATAACTTGCCTGATGCAACTTCCAGGGGAAGCATCAAACGAGCTCGACAAGGCGACTGCAAGATTGATACAGGTCTCGGCCCGACCTTTACTCCCTTGAAGATCCTTGTGAAAGAGGTGGATCACAAGAAGCAAACAACATATGTTCGAGAGCATTCATTGCCTCATGTTTCTTTGCCGGCTGTTCTTCAGCATGCCATCGCTACTTCCGAAGGGTTCAGGCAATTCTTCTTGGCTAAGCTGAGAGCATACCCAAATGGGCCAACGAGCCCATGGAGGCTCATCGTTTACGCCGACGAAATTACCCCTGGAAATGCTTTGAAGCCTCTGAACAGCCGCAAGCTGCACACCTTCTATATGTCTTTTGTCGAATTTGACCATCAACTCTCGGCGGGGGCATTCTGGATCACTGTTCTGACAGCTCGAAGCGATCTGGTCAACAAGATGGAGGGTGGCTTGTCCGAGCTTTTCAAGTGCCTTCTGGAGGCCATGTTTCAAGGACCCTTCAATTTGAAGACTGGATGCATGCTGGACTTTGGCCAGGGGCAACAACAACATCTGTTTTTTGCAAGCAAGTGCCGAATGACATCAAGACGAGCTGGCCACAGCAGCATGGTAGGTTCACTCTTCTCCTCCGACTGCGCTGTGTTTTCTTGCACCGGAACCATTCCACATGAAACGTACAGCTACGCCGAAATGAGGACTTGCGCTCATCTAACCTGTCTACACACCAACTGGCGGCTGCGTGCATTACCACAATCGACCGCATGCATTGCATGGGCGAGCATCATTTACGAAGCCAAAGGCCAGGCCACCAGCTGCACACTTCTCATAAGTAAAGCATGTGCATTGCAGATGCATCAAGATCTGTCTTGCACAGGGTTACACAACCGCCCAACTGCTTGTCCAGACCTTGGCGTGGTGATACGCTTCGGTGATGCAAATTCTCGAATTGGGTGAAACTTTGCTTTTGACTATTGATTAATTAGCTGGTGTCCTTGAGTGGCTGTCTAGAAGTGTCTTCTACGTCTTCTTGTCTATTGCGAGCCGATCGCACAGAAGCAGTTGCAACTTCGGAGAAACCTCTCAGAGGTTCTTCAGGATTTGTCTCTGCTGCGCTTCCAAGTCCCGAGTTCGCTTGCCTAAGACCTTGGCACAATGCCCAGAGTCATCTGCATCACGCGTCTTTGCAAGCGTGTCAACACCGTAGCCTTACATGTCAGAATCTGCAAAACCATCAAGACTGCCTCAAGCACCGTTGAGACGTTGTTCAGGACCTCGCAGAATGTGGTGCACATGCATGACATTTCCTCCACGAATGCCCCGACCGTCAAAAGAGATGTACCGCGTGGACGTCTGCAACTTGCCAGCTATCTCACTCGGCTTGTGCTTTCCACATTTTTGTGCATAGTCTTGGCTGCTTGGTGGCGAAGACAGTCAGGCCAAGGATGCTACAACCGCCACTACTTGCCAATATGCCAATAACACTGCAACAAAACTGGGGGCCTCCATGGACTCTTGCATCTCGTGCAGGAGGACACCACGGGCACCGCGAGTCCGCCTTGACAGCAGTAGGATGTGGATGTTCGCGGTAAGAGCCCCTCTAAGCGGCTTCAAAACTGTGCAACAAAACGAGATGACTCTGACAAGCCGAGGTCTAGACTCCACAATTCCGTTGGCGATGTGACGGGTCGCCTCATGCCGAACACCGTTTCTGACTCTGTGCACTCTCTCGATGTCCCTGCGCGCATCTTGGCAAACTCGTCAAACAGTCGCTGAGCTCAGGAACATCGATCACAAGATCCACAGCGTCGTCTTTGAGATCTTCCTGGCCATCGGTCGTGCCTGCATCCTTGGCCAGACCGCAGTGGAAGAACACAGTTAAAGGAGTGGCACAGCAAGGCTCCGACTTTGAGCATGGGGAAGGATCCGGTGCTGGCAAACGTCCTAGCATACAGCAGATATACAGGTTGCTCTTCTGCGATCTGGCAAGGGCCATGAACCACAAAAGGAGCTGTCTCCCACTCAACCATCTCAGCCCTGGGCTGCATGAAATCGTTCATGTCTCCGGACTGATCTCGAAGCTGATCCTAGACGAGCCACTTCGATCAGATCGAAGAAGCTGGCTTTCAAATTAGGAGAGCGGGCAAATATCCATCAATAATAATAGAATATAGTAAGTTCTAGGTACCCATAGTCTCCACAACGGTTCGAGGCGGCTACTTTCTTAACAGATGCTGGAAACGATCTCTCGCATGCGCATCTCATCGGTCCATCGTGCGAAGTGGGCCGAGATCCGGCTCCGAGCCCTCGCTGTCGGACTCCACCTTGTCCTGTGAGCTTTCGATGGAAAGGGCTCTGAGAGCGAGAGCGAGCGAGAGAGAGACAGAGGGAGTGCGATAGAGAGAGAGAGAGAGACAACGAGAGAAACGAAAACAACAAACAAAGAAAGAGATCTGCAAAAAGAGCTTCAGAAAGACGGAGAAAGTGTGGCATTGATTGTTGTGTGTAGCTATGCGGACGATATAGCAGAAAAAAGTGTGAGACAAAAGTTCTCGGTCCGCCGAACCCCACCCGATGTAGAAAAACTTTTCTTGCCCATTCTTTTTTCCTCGATGGCGACGGTAGCCAGCTGCCGCTTCGGCCGGCGGCCCCAGGTCGAGCTCCCGGGGCCCAGGGCCTGGCACAGCTGAGACAAAGAAGAGACAGAATGGAAAGCAAACAAAGACGTGGGGGGGGGGGGGGGCGACACAAAAGGAATCTCTTACCAAAGAGGATACAATGGAGTCAAAAGAGGATGCAAAGAGTGGGGGAGCCCTGCAGAACTGAACTGCAAGAGGAGTCGGGCACGCAATGGTAGAGTCTTGCATCTTGACCTTCATCTGCTTTGCAAGCACCTGGGCCATGTGTTGGCACCACAGTTTTCCTCACGGCAGAAGTGTCGCCGAGAGGAAAGAGACTAAGATCTCCACCATGTCGTCCCTTGCTTTCTCGTGCTGCTCCACCTTCTTGCGCCGTTTTAGCAGCCGAGAGTAGAGCCCTGGCACGCATGCGCCTCGGAGGATGGAGGCGACTCAAATGCAACACAAAGCCAGAACGACAGATCGACACAGGCCAGCAGAGCTTCCACCAATGAGGGTCTGAGTGCGTGGCGGAACTGCTTCTCTAGCTTGCCACCATGGTTCAACTGGCACAGAGCTGTCACATCTGATCGGCACCCAGGTAGCATACCCACCAGAAACGGCAAGACTGTGCTGACAGTTAAAAATAAGTTGCAAGTGACAATGCCACTAACACGCGTGGGCGCACCGCTTTCCAAGTGTCCGATAGCCTGCCATGACATGCATAATGCACCTTTCTCGAATGTGGTGCACTGGTATTGCACACTCTTGCCAAGAAGCAACCCTGCTCTTGACATCTCTTGGCCACACTCAACTTCTACTTCAGTCGGTCTTCAGGTTTGGCAACTCCGACCGATTAAACATCTAGGCTGCGCCACTCTCGTTGGTGCTTGGGTTACCTCTCTCCCGGCTTGGGGATGCGCAAAGCAAGCGGAGGATTGCCCTTGCGACTCTTCTTGGACTGTAGGGCGCTGTAGTGCCAGCCACTGCTTCGAAGGTTGGGGTGGGGGACCCAAGTGAAGCACGCGGAGAGAAATCGCCGAGGGCGAGTTCGCAAGTGAGGCGCCCATGAGGCATCGCACATTGAACCTGCATATGCCTGACACGGCGGGCCTGTCACGGAGGACGGCCCACTTCTTCTTCTGCTTGGCATCCTACATAGCTTGCACACTGCGACTACCTTGGATGCGATATCAGGGATCGAATCACACATCAACCGCGGAGATCGGGCCTCCTCTATTTTGGCATCTGACAGTGTGCTGACAATTATGGCGTAAAAAAGGTTCATAATCACCTTGGCTGCAAGAGGCAGGCTCCGGCGCAGTCAAGCCAGAAGACTGTGCAGTATTGTGCCGATGCCGAGGAAGTAAGACCCAGACGAAGAAAATGCCCACAACATACATCACGATCAACCTGCGGCATCTGATGAGAATGCCAAACGCTGGCTGACACAGGACGTCACAGAAAAACCCAAGACTCCTCCTTTCTCCCTTCCACTGTTCGTAAGCTTTCTGAGTGATGGACAGAGATCCGAGAAAGGGCGCCACATCATAGATCACCTGAGATGTTTCAATTCAGCAGGCCCCACGACCCGAGCTTTGGACATAGCTTACAGAATTTCGGGCCTTCATGTCGCTGTTGCCGAGAATTGTCCTTGGCATTCTCATCCGCTGACATGGCTATACATCAAGGAGAACGCTCCACCAACAAACTAACAGCTTGCATTCACATGCAGAATGCAGAGAGGCCTAAGTTAAGGCCAGCACAGCATGATGAAAATGAAAGCCTGGCGAGGCAAGAAGCAGATCTATGTTCCTGGGTTGAGCAACGGACTCGTGGTGGCACTGCCAGCCGGCCTGAAACGGTGTTCGCAGAACTGACACGTCACCGCCTCAGAGATAAGCTGAGTCTTGGGCCTCTGCTTGGCATGGCTTACACATGTAGGGTCTATTAACGTTAAAAAACCCATTTAGGGTTTGTTAACGTTAACAAACCCTACACAGTTTGTCGAAATTGCAAGTAGACAGCCGAGCCGTCAGAGGCACGAGCCGAAGGCCGTGCTAAAGGCAAGGACAAAGCCGGCCAAACTGCTGAGGAAGACTGCCTTGCTGGGTTCTGGGTTTTGGGTTTTGGGTTTAGGGTTTAGGGTTTAGGGTTTTGGGTTTAGGGTTTAGGGTTTAGGGTTTAGGATTGAGGCCTTAGGGTTTAGAGTTTAGGGTTTAGGGTTTAGGGTATCTTCGAAACTCCAAAAACTTCTGTGTTGCATGACGCGCAGTGAAGAACTCAAACACGCAAGACGGATTCAGAAGGCTCTCTTGCGGCCTAGCGACAATCCACGAACACAGATTCTGCTGGGAAATGCTGACCTCATGCGATAAACACTCATCCAGCAGAAGCTCGACAACGCCTTCCAGCCTTGCATCCTATGTCGACCAAGTCCCTTACGGTCTGCATGAAAGTCGTCACGTAGGGAATGATGTTGATGTACTTGACGGCCTGCTGCAAGACTTGCCCACGAGATGCTTGAAATCCGAATTGGAAATCATGGCCTTGAACCACGTGAGGATGGTATTAAAGGCAACGAGGCTCTGTATCTGTCGCACGTTTGCAGCAACACCTGCCGCGGACAGCAGCTGAAAGGAACTATCCATGGCGCACGGACAAGCGCATTACTCAAACATGCTGCCGGCAGGCTATGGAAGTTCGAGGCGTACAGATCTTGAGTGACGTCGTTCCAGTCCGACGGCGAAGTTACCTGAGCGATGAGTACCATACAGTTTTGGGCTGGTTGAGCTTTTCCAGAAGCACAAAAGAAAAGCTGCCGCAATCTTCATGGGATGCTAACCACCCACTTGGGCCCACGCGAAGAGACCTCCTGCCTTTGACCATGTGTCAATCTTGTAGCCTGGCATTTCAGCGGGCATCCAAGGTCATGTCAGGAACGCACCGTGCAAGCTCTTCGCACGGCGACAGCCCAACTCCCTCTCTAACATGACTGGAGAACAAACAGTGATGATCATCATGATCAGGTTGAACCAGTCCAGGATGTTCCATGCATCCAAGAAGTAACTCGGCCGGACAGATAAAGAAGGCACATCGCTACTTAGAGATGGGAAGGTGCCAAAACCAACACATCAGCCGGCTTCATGAAATTCACAGATGGGTCACTCCCACTTGATGGACAGCTGCATCCTCGTACCCTCGTCGAAGAAACACGCTCAGAGTGCTTTCCCAACTCTGCACGGAAAAGTTTGGCCTTCGTCTCGAAGCCGATGAACTCCGAGGCTTCCTTCACAGCTCTTGGGTGCGGAGTTGTGGGAAGGAGGCCTTGAAACCCGGTATGGGTAGGCTCTATAACGAAGATCCCCAAAATGGAGACTCATCCCCTTCCGGATCAGAGACCAATGACATGATACTTTCGCATGCTGCCTCCAGCACATACCGCAGCACAAAGAGGACCAACGCTGCCTGTTGGGTAGCAACATGTAGCCCCGATACCCTGATGCGCACACCACTGCCAAGGGTGGAGTCTCACATGCCTCGAGGATCAAAAAGAGCCAATCCTGCAGCCACCCGGGCTTCCTACGGCTGCAGCGTACGCCCACCCCTCGCCTCTGTTGTACCGGCGCCGAGCGGTTGCAGATTCCTGGGGCTCTCCAGGTACAAATGCCAAGTTGAAAGTTGAAGACAATTGATGCAAAGGGCAAAAAGGCACATGGTGAAAGGCAGAGCACCTCTGCAGGAGGATATCTATGTTGAACGTCTGGGTCCAGTCGCCAGCTGCTGCAATCTGGGCGCTTCAGAAACTGCTGGCACATGCTTGCAAATAGGCCAGCCCATCCTATTGTATAACCTTAGCTTTTCACACGTTTCTATACTTACTGCCGGTGCCTCGAACACGATCCGGCACACGGCGTACAAACCCAGGTTGAAGTTATAGATGACAAACTCCTGTCAATCACGGCAGATTGAACAGGGCTGATGTTTCAGCCTACGGTGTGTCACATTGATTGCTCCGCGGTCCAAGAAGATCACACGGGTCTTCTCGCTGATGAAGCCTCTAAGCAGAGTCTACACTCACTCCGACAACTGAACACTGGTCGTCTGCAAACAGGGCGAGTAGGTTTAAGGCAACTCAAAACATTCTGGTTGATCTACAATTCTTCGGTGTGTCTTAGATGACCACATGCACGTCACACAAGCACTGCATCCCACAAAGGCCAATCAGCCCGGCCATCTGTCCGCATGATTTGGAACATGGCGTTGGTGGTGAGATAGTCCGGCGTGAAGATCTGCCACAGTATCTACAGTTTAGGGTTTAGGGTTTAGGGTTTAGGGTTTAGGCTTTTGGTTTTAGGGTTTACATGTGGGAAGTGCTTCTCAGTTCAGAACTCACAAGAAGTTTCGTGGTGCCTGCACGTATCCACCGGAAGGATAAGTAGCAAGTGTTCCCTCGTAGTTCTCACCAGACGTACCTCGATAGTACCTGGAGCGCACCACCCTGCATTAACAAGATGTAACAAGCACTTGAGAGTTCTTGACATTTCTCGTCGGCTCCATAAGCCCGAAACGAGAAGCTTGCCACCCCATCACCTGACACCAATCCAAGACAGCGCGTGGATCCACCTTTGAGGATTCTCTGAGCTCATTGCCGTTGGTGGGTCCGTACGGGTCTTGATCCAGAGCCTGCACACGTTTGGTGAGGAGAAGCGGCACGATGCGACGCGGTGTCCAAAAACAAACCTTGCAAGAGAAGCCCCCTGAGAGGCCTGGGCAGTGAAAGGGCCGTAGCAGTTAGGGAAATAGTTCCTCGGAGAGAAATGAGGCTTCTGAAGCTTCCGCCCCCTGTGGACTCCCACGATGACAGACTGAGCTTCAAGCCGAAACTGCTGAGCCACCTGGCCTGGGCAGAACTGGCTGAGACTGCTGTCAGAGGGCTGTATCAACAATGAAACAGATCACACGCACTCAATCACTTTTGTGTCAGGCTGCAATCCACATTCGGCTGGATGTTGAGGATGCGTAGTCTGCCCATGCCATACAAATAGTTCGGCCTCGTTGAAGAAGGCAGAGGAACCCTGAACCCTGAACCCTAAACCTGAACCCTGAACCCTAAACCCTGAACCCTGAACCCTAAACCCTAAACCCTGTCATGCCGAGAACTGCAGCTCGTCATAAGGCTGCAGCCCTTCCACTTGCAGCCAGGTGGGAATGACGGCTCCAGGATAAGAGTACTTTGCCGTGTCTTCCCTGAGCACATGGAAGCACACAACAGAAACGACGTGCCAACTTGTTGCTGGGCTGTTTCTGCAGAGTGGCCTTCTACCAGCAAGATTTTTGAGGCCAGCACCCATAGATAGCTGGCATGAAAGACGCGTTGTGATATTGCCAAAAGCTCTCCACCGAAGAGACGTCCGCCAACTGCACCACACGTCGCTTCAACGTCGAGCTCTTTTCAAGAGGGAGCGTTTGGCACAAGCCAGATGTTGAAGAGACAAGAGCCCGGCCGCAATAGCGGCGCTTGTATCAAATCGTCTCCTCAAGTAGCCCTGTCAGGTCCAAGTCAGCACTGCACAGTCATGTCCAAACACACACACACACACACACACACACACACAGAGCAAGGCAGGCCACCTCAAATGCCCTCATCTTGTACCGCGGCTCGCTCAAAGCGAGAGACTGGCATGAAAGCAGGAGGTTTCCAGCCAAGATTGGTGTAAACAGTTTCTGTTCAAAGGCTCATCGAGGCTCCAGCCGTAAAAAGCAACAGGAAGCAAACAAACAACACCGTGTTGAAAGTGGACCTGGCGAATTGCACAAGGCTATCATGAACAAAAGCATGGAAACACACCAAACGTCGAACCAAGGGTACCGGTGCCTTAACAACGCTTTCAGACCGCTCTTCTGCTGCAACAGCTCATTGACGCGTTTTTCATCCTGGGGCAGTGTTACATCTGCATGATGGTTGCACAACAACGAGCTAGTTACGCGTGCTGGGGAATGCACCACCAAGATGGCAAGCCCGCTTGTGGGGGCCGACATCTCCCACAAACTGCTATGTACACGGCTTCGCTACATCAACCCCCATTTTGAAAGACCGAGCCTGCCATAGAGCCTTGCATCAAGCATAAGCAACACGGTGTGACACACATCGTGTTTTTGCATAATTTCATGCAACACAACACGTCTCTCTTCAAAACTTAATTCTGCCTTCGCCAAAAAGCTTAAAAACCACGTGTTGATTGTACAATTGGGACTTGAAACTAGGTTGGCTGAGGCTGTTGAATCCCATACACACCATGTCAGGGCACGCCGAGGACGCAATTGCCGCCACTGGTCGACGTCCAACAAAAAATGATTTTTGCAGCTGGGAGGACCACCTTCACCTGCAGAGGCGAATCGGACACTGCGGACAGGGGTGAAAGCCAGTCCACCTTCAATGATCATTGCTTCGCATCCTCTTTTTAGCGGATTTTACTGGTCGACTGATGGGATTCACTTCAAGACAGCGTGCGACATGGTGCGACTGAAGCCATCCGGGATTTGTAACATGCTGTAAACACACAATATTATACAATGTTCTCTTTCGGAAAATGCATATGTGCAGGTCTGGATAGTGCGGCTGTGGGTTGGAAGTTTAACCGAACTCCTGCAACTTCTCATGAAGGAGAACAGCAACCAGGACAACCAGCACAAAATCACCGACAGCTCAAACAGCTCCTCTACCTGGACCCAGGTGCCCCGGGGCGTTTTCGACTTCGAGTTTTGGGCGCAACTGTGGTTCTTGCGGCCCGCTCTTGACGCTCTCGCTCCTGCTGCTCTTGACGCTCTCCCTGCTGCTCTGGAGTCTTCCTCCCATCATCGGATTTTCACTTTTCCCACCACCAGCTGGACTCAACGCATCTTTGACGGCGGTCTCGTTGGCGCTGCTCAATCAATAATGCCAAGCCGCTACAAGCTGAGGAAGCTGAGATTTGCCAAGCCGCGGAAAGATGAGGAAGCTGAGATTTGCCAAGCCGCTACAAAGTCAGGAAGCTGAGATTTGCCAAGCCGCTACCTTGCATCTCGAGTTTGAACCTCCGCCGCCCTCACCGGGCTTGCCGCTCCCGGCCCTCACCGCCCTGCCCCGACCCGCCTTCTATCCTACCCCCTACCTTACCACCCCACCGCTTCCACCCCTCCACCCTATCTCCCGCCGCTTACCCTCCCTGCCTTAACACTCCCCAGCTGCCACCGCCCTTCCCTGACTGCCCTGACCCAACCCTGCCCCGCCTAACGAAGTAGATCAAGGGCTCCAGTGCAGTCGCAGCCTTGCACCATCCTCACCACCCTTGCTGCCCTGCCCTGACCCCCCCACCCCCTGCTTTTTGTTTTTGAAGTAGATTCAAGGCGGCACCCTCACGAGCCTTGCCATCCTGTGCCAAGCCCTGACCCCTGCCCCCTACCCTGCCTGACCCCACCCCCCCAACCTTACCCCTTCCACCCTGCCCTCACCCCCACCCCCAGACCCCACATCTTTGGTGGGCAGGCCCGGCGTGACTCAACTTGTTTCCGGCCCACATGTTCCGCAGAAATCTTTACAAGAGGAAACAATCAAGTCCAAATTCAGGTTGGCTTTCTTGCAGAAGCGACGCATCTGAAAACAAGGCTGCCTTGTTACGCTAGCTGCGCATCTGTTTTTGACACTGCACCCCATACGTGGACGGCCAAGTCAAGTTGACATGGAGCCGAGGCGAAGATGCCGACAGAACGACCTATTGAATCCCCACCTGGGGCCCGTCTGCCGCAGACATGGAGAAAAACAAGCTGAGGGAACTGCATGTACACCCTGTCTTAGACAAAAATGGCCAAAAACAGTCTCCCCCCCCCGGAACGCCAGAAGAAACGCTTCCTGGCAAAAGGACCCGCCTGCCGAAGATGTGGAAAAAAATGGCCACCATTTCCCCCTGCAGCGCCCTGCCAAAAAGCTGTAAGACAACTGCAGGCCCGGCCTGCCCACCGAAGACGTGGAGAAAAAGAAGTTTCGGTCAATAAAATGGGCCACCAAACCGAACAAGAAAAACCCACCAAAGAGCAGCGCAAGCACAACCTTAAGGACAGGAAGTGCACCCAATAACGCTACCAGAACCACCAAGAGGAAAAGCACGTTACCAAAACAACTGGCTTGCCCAACTAAGACAAGTAGGTTGGGAAACCAAAGCCAAGACACATAGGTTGGGTAAACAACATGTACTTCCACGTTCTGTTTGCGCAGCAGACACAATGCTTTCGCTTGCCAAAGCTCCTCGTGTCGGCTCTATTTAGCCCTCAATCTTATTAACTTAGATAGTTGTGCTAAAGAATCAATGTAGCTACTCAGCTAATCTTCCTCACGGAAACGTAATCTGCGCTTCAACACGGGTATGTCAATAAGCAAGCCAAAACCACGGTATCTACGATGCTTTCTGAGTTTTTAGAGGCTTCAACCGCTTCCGATGTGCCGGGATGCACGCTTTTTAGGGTGGCTGGTACCCACCAAAAAATGTCGGAGTATCGTTGTAAGCGAACATTAAGCCGATACGCGCCGGGGTCGTTATTTGGACCCCCGTGGACGTACCAAAAACTGCGTCCAGGAGCCGAAACTAGGTGGGGTCTAGCGCGCTGTTCACGATCAATATTGCACTTGTTTGGACCCGGACGTTGGCTTCCCAACTGGGTCGGCGGCACTTGCCGCCAGTGCCGCCGAGGGCTGGTTGAGGGAAAAGGGCAGTGAGGGCGATCTGCGCTGGGAGCCATAAGAAAACAGTCATATGGGGGTAGGAAGGGCGTGGCAGGGTAGAGTAAGCTAAGGGGAAGGGCTGTGGGTTGAAGGTAGGGGGTCGCATGTCTCCTCCCTTCATGCTCATAAGGTTAGGGTGTTTGTCTCCTCCTTCGTGCTCGTTGGGTTTGGTGAATGCCCATATGGGGTTCGTCGCATTTCCCCACCCTCAACCACCGCCCACACTGCCCACACCGCCCCTGCCCGTAAGGCCAAGCCGCAGCCCCCCGCCCTGGCCTGCCCTTGCCCAGTCCCCAGTTCTTGCCCACTGTTTTGCAGGCTGACATGGATTTGAAAGGGCACTTCCTGCTCACTCCCATCCCCCCCCCAACTCTTTTACCTCCAGAGCCTTCGATGCCTTCGACAAACCCTACGAGCACGAAGGGAGGGGTCATGCGACAAACCTCTGGGGCCCTCGACCCTGCGAGCCCCACAGCTGCTTCAACCATGAAAACATTGCATGTTGACACATCGTTGACATCACAAGTCTAAGATTGAAGCCCTCGATCCTTTCCTTCACCGCCCCCTTCAGTCTGGACCTGTTTGCTGTGCGAAACCTTGGGGAAAATGCAGTTTGCCAGTGTTTAGTATCTACTGGTTGTCTGGGCTCCCTGTTGCAAGACTTTGTGGGATGGTCCTGGGGCGGGTGCAATCTTGCCCGAAGATCGTAAGCTGTAGATGCTATGCGATGAGAGTGCAGGCCTTGGGATACTGGAAACGCTCTTGATACTGCATGCCTGTTGGCAAATGCTCAACAAATAGATGACAGGTTTCTGGACTTACTTTGTGCAGCGCATGCGCATGCCACGCGATGACATCTGACTCCTTCGGACAGAGAAGTCATCTCCAGGCCGGACTCTGGGACTCTGGGTTGACTACATTTCGGCGAGGCGGGCCAGGCGAATGTGGATGAACTCATATGCCATTTTCCGGACGGACTGAGATCCTGCAGCAATCGTTCCGACATGTTGTGCCTGCTGATTCCCGCTGCAGCCCCACAGTCTTGGCACGTGTCAAGAAACAAGGCACAACAGTGCTGGGAACACGTGCAACAGGAACTGCAACAGGAACTGCAGCTTGGTCTGTGGCATCTGCTCAGCAATAGGTTCAATGGGTCTTAGGCTTAACTAGGCTGTCCACCCATGAGGCGCAGTAACACATCAGCCTTGCATGTGAATGCGCAGCGTCTGCAAGAAAGGCAACCCTGTATTTGGACTTGATTGCTTGCCCTGGTAAAGACTCTTCCGGAACACGTGGGCCGAAAACAAGTCGAGTCACGCCACATGTGGACAAAAAAACCCACAATTCAACGGGGCCCTCTTGCCTAATCATCACCTGCGTTCGCAAGTATCTCACAGCTTTCAACATAACGAAAGTTAAATATTTTGTATCATGGTCAAAAACATTGTCTTGCATGTACTTTTCTTCTCGCAGGAGGGTGTCATAGGGGCAAATTGGGGCAATTCTTCCACATATTCGGCAGGCGGACCCCCGCGCGTGGGGAGCACTGCTTTCTTCGGGCAGAAGGGTGAAAATTGGGTCGATTGAGCGACCAGCCAATGAATGCTCGGGGGTGGCAACAAAACGGATGCACGCATCAACCAAACTTGTCAGAGTACACAACCCAGAAGTCTTGGTTGTGGAGTTGCAACAGGTGAGGTTGGGTCAGTTTAGGTCAGGATCTGTGTGTTTCAGAAAGTACGTCAGGTTAGGTCAGGCCGGTTTAGATGAGTGCTTCAGCAACTTTATTGAATCTCAGCAGACCATCTGACTCCACTGGGTCTGAGGTCCTTTTTCGGAATCGCGCGCTGCACACAGCTTCTTTGCATAGAATGCTGACTCCCAAAATGCAGCATGAGCTGTATTGATGCGGAACGCAAAGGTCACAGTCGCCTTACCCGAGGGATGTATCGTGGTTTCCAAGCATGAAAGCAAGGGCAGGCACGTGACTGCTGAAATTAAACCCTAAACCCTAAACCCTAAACCCTAAACCCTAAACCGTAAACCCATTGTGTGAGGAGTGCCAAGAGAAGGGCGGAAGGGGGGTGGAGCAGGGCCTTCGCTTGATCGCAAGCCTGCCAGTGTCTGGGATGGGTGACCCAAAGAGGGCTGGCCAACATGACCTCCTAGGCCAGAAACCCAATGTAGCCGAAGTTCCCCCAAATCGGGGGACTTTGCAACAGCATGGCCAGGTGGGGACTGAAGGGGCGGGGGAAGGAAAGAATCGAGGACCACTGCGTCAACACCTTGCCCGGACACCACGCAGGCTCCAGGGTTTCGTGCACCACAATGACCAGGACTGAAGGGGCGGGGAAGGAAAGAATCGAGGACCACTGCGTCAACACCTTGCCCGGACACCACGCAGGCTCCAGGGTTTCGTGCAACACAATGACCAGGACTGAAGGGGCGGGGAAGGAAAGAATCGAGGACCACTGCGTCAACACCTTGCCCGGACACCACGCAGGCTCCAGGGTTTCGTGCAACACAATGACCAGGACTGAAGGGGCGGGGAAGGAAAGAATCGAGGACCACTGCGTCAACACCTTGCCCGGACACCACGCAGGCTCCAGGGTTTCGTGCAACACAATGACCAGGACTGAAGGGGCGGGGAAGGAAAGAATCGAGGACCACTGCGTCAACACCTTGCCCGGACACCACGCAGGCTCCAGGGTTTCGTGCAACACAATGACCAGGACTGAAGGGGCGGGGGAAGGAAAGAATCGAGGACCACTGCGTCAACACCTTGCCCGGACACCACGCAGGCTCCAGGGTTTCGTGCAACACAATGACCAGGACTGAAGGGGCGGGGAAGGAAAGAATCGAGGACCACTGCGTCAACACCTTGCCCGGACACCACGCAGCTCCAGGGTTTCGTGCAGCACAATGACCAGGACTGAAGGGCGGGGAAGGAAAGAATCGAGGACCACTGCGTCAACACCTTGCCCGGACACCACGCAGGCTCCAGGGTTTCGTGCAACACAATGACCAGGACTGAAGGGGCGGGGAAGGAAAGAATCGAGGACCACTGCGTCAACACCTTGCCCGGACACCACGCAGGCTCCAGGGTTTCGTGCAACACAATGACCAGGACTGAAGGGGCGGGGAAGGAAAGAATCGAGGACCACTGCGTCAACATCTTGCCCGGACACCACGCAGGCTCCAGGGTTTCGTGCAACACAATGACCAGGACTGAAGGGGCGGGGAAGGAAAGAATCGAGGACCACTGCGTCAACACCTTGCCCGGACACCACGCAGGCTCCAGGGTTTCGTGCAACACAATGACCAGGACTGAAGGGGCGGGGAAGGAAAGAATCGAGGACCACTGCGTCAACACCTTGCCCGGACACCACGCAGGCTCCAGGGTTTCGTGCAACACAATGACCAGGACTGAAGGGGCGGGGAAGGAAAGAATCGAGGACCACTGCGTCAACACCTTGCCCGGACACCACGCAGGCTCCAGGGTTTCGTGCAACACAATGACCAGGACTGAAGGGGCGGGGAAGGAAAGAATCGAGGACCACTGCGTCAACACCTTGCCCGGACACCACGTAGGCTCCAGGGTTTCGTGCAACACAATGACCAGGACTGAAGGGGCGGGGGAAGGAAAGAATCGAGGACCACTGCGTCAACACCTTGCCCGGACACCACGCAGGCTCCAGGGTTTCGTGCAACACAATGACCAGGACTGAAGGGGCGGGGGAAGGAAAGAATCGAGGACCACTGCGTCAACACCTTGCCCGGACACCACGCAGGCTCCAGGGTTTCGTGCAACACAATGACCAGGACTGAAGGGGCGGGAGAAGGAAAGAATCCAGGACCACTGCGTCAACACCTTGCCCGGACACCACGCAGGCTCCAGGGTTTCGTGCAACACCATGACCAGGACTGAAGGGGCGGGGAAGGAAAGAATCGAGGACCACTGCGTCAACATCTTGCCCGGACACCACGCAGGCTCCAGGGTTTCGTGCAGCACAATGACCAGGACTGAAGGGGCGGGGAAGGAAAGAATCGAGGACCACTGCGTCAACACCTTGCCCGGACACCACGCAGGCTCCAGGGTTTCGTGCAACACAATGACCAGGACTGAAGGGGCGGGGAAGGAAAGAATCGAGGACCACTGCGTCAACACCTTGCCCGGACACCACGCATGCTCCAGGGTTTCGTGCAACACAATGACCAGGACTGAACGGGCGGGGAAGGAAAGAATCGAGGACCACTGCGTCAACACCTTGCCCGGACACCATGCAGGCTCCAGGGTTTCGTGCAACACAATGACCAGGACTGAAGGGGCGGGGAAGGAAAGAATCGAGGACCACTGCGTCAACACCTTGCCCGGACACAGCAGGCTTCCAGGGTTTCGTGCCAACACAATGACCGGACTGAAGGGGCGGGGAAGGACAAGACTCGAGGGACCAATGCGTCAAACACCTTGCCCGGGGAACAACCACGCAGGCTCCCGGGTTTCGTGCAACACCATGACCAGGACAGAAGGGCGGGGAAGAAAGGATCGAGGACCACTGGGTCAACACCTTGCCCGGACACCGCGCAGGCTCCAGGGATTCGTGCAACACAGTGGCCAGGACTGAAGGAATTGGCGAAGCAAAGGATCGAGATGGATCGAGGACCACTAAGTCAACACCTTGCCCGGACACCGCGCTCCAGGGATTCGTGCAACACAGTGGCCAGGACTGAGGGAATTGGCGAAGGAAAGGATCGAGGACCACTGGGTCAACACCTTGCCCGGACACCGCGCAGGCTCCAGGGTTTCGTGCAACGCAATGGCCAGGAGGCTGAAGGGGCGGGAAGGAAAGAATAGCGGACCACTGCCGTGTCAACATTTGCCGACACCACGCAGGTCAAGGGGCTTCGTGCAACACAATGAACCGGAATGAAGGGGCGGGAAGGAAAGAATCGAGGACCACTGCGTCAACACCTTGCCCGGACACCACGCAGGCTCCAGGGTTTCGTGCAACACAATGACCAGGACTGAAGGGGCGGGGGAAGGCAAGAATGGAGGACCACTGCGTCAACACCTTGCCCGGACACCACGCAGGCTCCAGGTTTTCGTGCAACACAATGACCAGGACTGAAGGGGCGGGAAGGCAAGAATGGAGGACCACTGCGTCAACACCTTGCCCGGACACCACGCAGGCTCCGGGGTTTCGTGCAACACAATGACCAGGACTGAAGCGGCGGGGGAAGGAAAGAATCGAGGACCACTGCGTCAACACCTTGCCCGGACACCACGCAGGCTCCAGGGTTTCGTGCAACACAATGACCAGGACTGAAGGGGCGGGGGAAGGCAAGAATGGAGGACCACTGCGTCAACACCTTGCCCGGACACCACGCAGGCTCCAGGGTTTCGTGCAACACAATGACCAGGACTGAAGGGGTGGGAAGGCAAGAATGGAGGACCACTGCGTCAACACCTTGCCCGGACACCACGCAGGCTCCAGGGTTTCGTGCAACACAATGACCAGGACTGAAGGGGCGGGGGAAGGAAAGAATCGAGGACCACTGCGTCAACACCTTGCCCGGACACCACGCAGGCTCCAGGGTTTTGTGCAACGCAATGACCAGGACTGAAGGGGCGGGAAGGCAAGAATGGAGGACCACTGCGTCAACACCTTGCCTGGACACCACGCAGGCTCCAGGGTTTCGTGCAACACAATGACCAGGACTGAAGGGGCGGGAGAAGGAAAGAATCGAGGACCACTGCGTCAACACCTTGCCCGGACACCACGCAGGCTCCAGGGTTTCGTGCAACACAATGACCAGGACTGAAGGGGCGGGGGTAGGCAAGAATGGAGGACCACTGCGTCAACACCTTGCCCGGACACCACGCAGGCTCCAGGGTTTCGTGCAACACAATGACCAGGACTGAAGGGGCGGGGAAGGAAAGAATCGAGGACCACTGCGTCAACACCTTGCCCGGACACCACGCAGGCTCCAGGGTTTCGTGCAACACAATGACCAGGACTGAAGGGGCGGGGGAAGGAAAGAATCGAGGACCACTGCGTCAACACCTTGCCCGGACACCACGCAGGCTCCAGGGTTTCGTGCAACACAATGACCAGGACTGAAGGGGCGGGGGAAGGAAAGAATCGAGGACCACTGCGTCAACACCTTGGCCGGACACCACGCAGGCTCCAGGGTTTCGTGCAACACAATGACCAGGACTGAAGGGGCGGGGGAAGGCAAGAATGGAGGACCACTGCGCCAACACCTTGCCCGGACACCACGCAGGCTCCAGGGTTTTGTGCAACACAATGACCAGGACTGAAGGGGCGGGGGAAGGCAAGAATGGAGGACCACTGCCGTTCAAACACGTGGCACAGCTACTGACAAAGTGCGGACTCTTTTCTTCACTGCGCTGTTCACAGTTACTCGAGCTCCGCTCGGCTTGAGCCAATGCGAGCACGGCTCTCCAGCTTTAAACACTGTCTGCCAGACATGGGAAAACAAAGGTACTTCAGGTAAACACTCAGCCATGGAACTTCTACTCCTAAACACTGTGGGTAGGTTCTTAGCACCTCTTAGGTGCTCTGCTGAGCTCTGTGCAGACCTAAACTGGCTTGAGTCACTTCTGGTCACCAAATACCAGGTCACAAACAGGAAACGAGTTCCGACAAACGAGTTTCGAGAAAACGAACAGAAAACGGTTCTTCAAACTCAAAACAAGGTCTCACCAAGCCAAAGGAAATCTGCACTGCCTGACATGTCCTCGTGCCTATGCTTCACACTCATAGCAGACAACTCAAGTGCACATCACGTGTCAACTGGGAAACTAGGAGGGTCACATATATCACTCGAAAGCGGGCTGCGTCGCTAGCCAGGTTAGGCTCTTCGGAACCGAAGTTCCGGAAGGTATTAACTATGCACAGAAAAGGAAAACCTCTCGAGGTGTCCTTGGCCTGCTTAACACGGCCGAACTATGTGCAGGGAACACCGAGAGAAAGCAATGAGGGCTTAACCAGTTCCGCGAGAAGCTCGGCGGCCTTCGGCTACTCACTGGTTTGGCTCTATACAAAGCCCTAGGCAAATGTTCTGCAGGTTGAACTGCCTGGTCTGTACTGCCTACCCTATAAGCCCTGCCTGTACAGGGGAGAAACTCACCCACATTCGGCTCACTCAGAAAAGGCAGAAGGTCCGGAACCGACACATGGGCAATGCCTGTACAAACTGCAAACAAGTGGAAGGCAAAAGTCGCCAACCTCCGGAGCAGGCCTAAGCTTTCTCGCACTTACTAACCTAGGCCCCAGAAACTCATGCCGCAGCAGCACTGAGCTCCTGTTTGCCCCGTATGCTGACCTGGTTTTCTCGCACTTACTCACCAGGGAGGAAGAACCAGCTTTCTCGCTCTTACTCACTGGTTCAACCTCAGCGGCTCCAGAGGAGCCCACACCACTTGCACGCAGGGAGGGCTTGGTTGATTTGGGCATCTCAGCTGGGCAGGCTTTCGGGCACCGAGCCACAGCCTTTAACCTCCGCAATCTGGTGCCTCAGGCTGTCCGTCAGCCTAGGTTTTGGTCCCTACCAAACAACGCCTGCCGCTAGGCTTCCTCCAGGATGGGCTTGCACCACCCGGAGAGAAACAACAGCACCCTGCAGGAAACTCAAAGGAAATCCTCGGCAGGCCAAACACGGGTAACCCCAAACTGATGCCGGGCAGCATGCCCTCGGCCACAACCGACCGGAAAGTACTAGGATCCTCGTCCGTTCCCCAACATCTCAGCGCGCTCCCTCCCCTCATCAACCAGTGAGGATCTTCAGGGTCCGGTTCTAACGTTATCCTTTCGGGCGCTGTGTTTGCGAGAACCCCGTGTTGGGCCTGTGGAAGACCCGCAAGCTCCTGAGCCCGAAAACCCGGTCCAGCGGTCTGCTCTACAGACCGAACAAGGGGGCCAAACCGGTGTCAGGCTGTACTAAAGCCACATCAAGGCGGCTTGTCCTGCAGGGTGACCAACGGAACGACTGCGAATATTCCGATGGATGGATCTGGGTATGTGCCGGGACTGAGCACTTGCTTGCTTGCATTCTTACACCTGCAACCTTATGCGATCAATCATGATCCAATTCTATGCAAGATTCTCTTTGGTGCCCTGAGGCACTCACAATTTGGAAACGGACTCGAAAGACCGTCACTGATTGAAACGGGGAGAAGCCTCACCCTGAATGGATTCCGGAGGGGATAGTCTCGCCCTTGATTCTGGCAGGGCAAAGCTCCTGCAATTTGGGTGGGTTGGGGCTGAAGTAGGTCAGACCTCCCATGGGATGTCTTCCAAATCTTCAAAGCCACACACTTGCCAATCACTGCTGCATGCTTCTTCTGGGGAGTCTGGATCCTGAGAACACCCTTCCTCAAGGAAAGTCCAGCCATGTGCGCTGGCTGCAGAAGACAGCGGAACCAGCGAAGGCTGTGCGGGCTGCATAACTTGGTGACCTAACTGACGCAAGTCAGCAAGGGAAGCGTCGTCCAGGAACACCGGTCTCCTAACTGCTTGGTCAAAACTCGGCCAGCTCCACGTGCAAGCTAGAAAGTTTTCTAGACAAAGGGCACAGTGGAGCTCGATGCGTCTTCCATCCTCTCCGTGCAAGATCGCTGGTTGCCTTTTCCCAGGACCTGGCACAAAACTGAGGTTATGGGTTGGAATATTACCACAGCCAGTGCAGTTAAAAGTTTAACAGGCGAAGCCACTGCACGGGCGGGTCGCCCCCCGTTCCCCCGTGGAGCTCTGCTGGGTCTTCCATGCATCGCCATTGCCCACAAGGTCCGGCTCTAACTGTTTTGCCGGATTTGCTGGTGCGAACAAAATACACGCTGCTGTCCTCTGCGAGGAGCAGCCATTCTTTCCGGCCCTTGTGAAACCAGCGAAAGCAGAGCGCTTGGTGAAAAGTCCTGCCTTGGCTGGAGCCACAATTGGCTCTATGGGCCCAAGTTCGCTCTGCACTTGCCAGGCTGCTCGAGCAACTTACCTGGTCTTCCAAGGCTGGAGAAACTCCACAGCCGGCTGTAAGAGGACTCGCATAAGGGAAGAGTTCCCCAAGCCGGGCTGCTTCGCCCTCCAGTCGGGCCGTGCCTTCTTTCTGGCTCTCTGCAGAGCAAGTTGGGTGAGATGACTCCAACCCATCACTTGCTGGCAGTGAGGATCTCGACTGCACAGGTGCTCTGGACATGGCTCAAATGAAGGCTGTGAAAAAGCAGGCCTGGTACCCAAAACAGTTAGGGGACTCGAGGCTGGTTCACACAGCTACCGCTAAGCTACCTGTGCACCCCTCCGGGGTTGAGCCGAGATCTTGAGCCAGGTCACATATATCAACTCCCCCTCATGACCAAGAGTTTCACTGTTGGTCACGTCAACTAAGCTCCACGCAAAGCCAACTAAGCTCCTCGCCGAGGCGCGCATGCCGGCGCATTCCTCAGTCCTAGACCGCTGCACTGCTTCAGACCGCTGGAGGTCGACTAACTCTCGCAAAGTAACCTGGCTGGGCGGGTGGGCGGGCAAGCCAGGGGCGGGCGGGCGGGCGCGAATTACCGCAGTCGCAAGCTTTCCAGGGCGACGTCCGCGAAAGCTGGCGGATAGTGCTGCGTTTCTTTGAGATCAAAGTTTCGTGAATGATCTCCCTTGCAGGAACATGCAAACGTTTCGGACATTGTTCGCACAAATTGTTCATCGTTCGACATCAGTTTCCAAATCTTCCGGATAGGCAATCCATCTCTGCCTACCAAGCCTGAAACACAGCCGTGCACTTCGCCAGTGTAATGGGGTCGTTGCTTTGCAAACGAACGGGTGCTTGCCCATCCCCAGTAGGCACACCTCTGCGGCCATTCTATGAC